CGTCCACTGCCCGCCGAGCCTGCAGAGGACAGTGGGCACACCGGGAGCTGCCCTTTCACAGGTCTCCACGAGCCAGGCCACGTGTACTGACGGCTCCCTGGAAGGTTCCCCACATCGTTCCCGGTTCCCTGAAAACGCACACCCTCCGCTCCGTAAGTGCGGCTAAGCTCCCGCAGGCTGGCCGCCCGCAGATAAGGAACTCTCCGACGCTGAACCAAATGTGCAAACACACGATCTGAGCCCGAACCATCAGAAACAGGGAGGCCCTGGAAGGAGGGACTGGACTCCGCAAACCCGCTGACCTTGGGGTTTCCAGCCTGAGCGGCGGAGCTGAAGACAAACCCCGGTGCAGACCCCTGGGAGCGGAGTGCTGGAAGAGACGGAGTCGGAGCTGGGGAGACCAAGGTTTGTGGGTAAAATCGGATCTGCCGCAGGCTCCGGCTGACCCCAAACTGTGCAGCCAAAAGTAAACGCGAAAGCCACACTAAGAAAAGAACTGAACTGGGACCGCTTCTACCCAAGAGACCAACCCGGGGTCTGATCCCCAGAGTACCAACGCTCCTCACAGGAGGACGGCGCAGTCTGGAGTGCCCACAACGTGACGCCCCAGGGTCCGGAACCCAGCCCGGATGAAGTGCCCACCGCAGGAAGGGCTGGGCCGCCGGGTGACTCACTATCGGGACAAAAGAGTATCCATTCAGGTCAAATCTAAGGTGAGGAAGACTTCAGAATTAGACCGAGACTGCAAGCATCTATTTTAGCTGTGCTCAGTGGCATAAAATAACACCCGCCGTGAATTAAAAAATCAGAAAAATCCTAGCAAAGAAAAAGTATTTTTTAAAATAGACATACTTATACATGAATCAAATATTCTGAAACAGACTGTTAAAATACTTGACATAAAAATGTTGTAGGATGGGCTGAAGAGAAAATAACGGTAAGAAAGAACAATGACCTGGAGACACAGCAGCACCAATCACCCAGTCTGAAGAACAAAGGGGAAGAGAAAACCAGTCACAGAAGTGACTGTAGCCACCAAAACCGTTTTGAGAATATCAAAAGGTCAAGCATACAAGGTCTGTCCACAACAAGTCCAGCCATTGTTAATCTAAGGAGACGATGAGAATGGTTTGCATGACATGGATGTAGCCTGGCAGCCCAGGACAGTGGCCTGGAACGCACATGTGTGAACAATGACGACTTCACTGTACTCGTCAGCGGGGCGGTCGATGCTGCTGAGTGAGCACGTGCACTGTGTGGCCATCGCATTCAAAACGACTGAGTGAGTAGAGCAATGAATCTGCATCAGATTCTGTGTTATGCTTGAACATTCCTCCCCAGAAACTATTCGGATGATTCAGAAGGCCGCAGCTGTGGGCAGCTGGTGATTGGCAGCTTCATCACAACAATGCACCTGCTCACACATCATGTCTTATGTGGAGTTTTTTTTGTGAAACATCAGATCACCCAAGTGACTTAGGCCCCCTACAGCCCAGATTTGGTGCCCTGCAACTTCTGGCTTTTCCCAAAACTAAAATCACCTTTGAAAGAAAGAGCTTTCAGACTGCTGATAAGTGTCAAGAAAATATGATGGGGCAGCTGATGGAGACCGGGAGAACTGTGTGAGGTCCCACAGTGCCTAATAGGAAGGGGACTGAGGCGTCATTGTCCTGTGTACGGTGTTTCTTGTATCTTGTACCTTCTTCAGTGAATGTCCCCATTTTTCATACTCCATGGCTGGATACCTTCTGGACAGACCCTGTACGAATAACTGAAGTCTCAAAGGTGGAGAGAAAAGGCTCAAAAGAAGCATTTGAAGGAAAATCGTTAAAGTTTTATAATGACATGGACAAATCCCTTGAAAAATACACCAACAAATTCCCAAAGATGAACAAGAAAATCCGACTAGTGACACGTCGATCGAAGACACTGGGCTCGTCATCGGACCCCAGGCCCAGGGAGTTTCACTGGCGACTTCTACCAAACACTGAGGAAGACACGGCACCAAACTGACACGCATTCTCTGAGAAAAAGGTAAATACTCTCTCCCCTTACTTTCTGAAACCACATATAACACTAATGCCCAAACCTGATGAAGACCCCATACAGAAAAAAATGACAGGCCAGCAGCACCTGTGAACACAGGCGTGTCTGAATCCAACAACATAGAAAAGGGCAATGTCATTACCTGGTAAGGTTTCACCCAGGAGTGAAACATCCGTTTCATTTAGACAAATCAAAAAAACTCACTATGTTAACAGCGTAAAGGAGCAGCATCCTGCGTTCATTTCAACAGATGCAGAAGGGCATCCAGTGAAACTCACTACCCAGTCAGGGTCAAACCGCTGAGCAAAACTGAGACAGAAGAGACCTTCCTCTACCTAAAAAAGGGCATCTACCAACAAAACAAAACAAAACAAACACACCTACAGCTGTACAGATGTTACGTTCTCAATGGTAAACATTGAATGCCCCCACGTCAGTTGGAAACGAGGGAAGGATGACTCATCTTTCCCACCTGTATTCAAACATTATTCTAGAGACACCAACCAATTCAATAAAGCAAGCTAAATAACTATAAAACACACACATTGGGAAAGAAGTAAACTGTTTATACAGACGATCTAATTATGTACATAGCATGTCCTAAAGAACTGTAAAACAGTTTACTAGAACTAACAAGTGAATTTATTAGCAAGGTAACAGAATACAAGGTCAATATATGAACGTTTATATCAGTAGCAAAATACTGGGCAAGAATTTCAAATATTCATCTTACAAATGCCAAACACATAAAATATTTAGGAATAAGTTTAACAAAAGACAAGACCTTTATCCTGAAAAGTATAAAATGCTGCTGATAGGAACTAAAAATCTAAATACACACGATATGGAATACATATGGGAAGACATACCATAGTCAAGGAAGAAAAGACTCGGTATTGTTAAGAAGTCAAATTTCCCCGACTTGAGTAACAGATACAGTCAACTGCGATCACCATCCCTGCAAAGTGTTTTGGCAAAATTAATGAAATAATTATTTCATCTACATGGAATGGCAAAGGACTGCAATCCACGAAATCCGGAGAAGGAAGGGCGCGGTGGGAGGGACCACATGCCTAGCCCGATGCCTCCCCATAACACACTACTGAAGACGGCAGGGCAGCAGCGCGGGCAGGCACCGCAGTCAGATCGCAGAAACCAGAGAAGAAGCACAGGCACGGTCCCTCCCTTCGGCAGTCGCCTAGCTCTCATCAAAGGCGCACGGTCAGGGGGAGGGCACGTCTTTCAACAAGCGGCCCTGGGAAACTGAACATCAGGACGAAGGAAGAATGCACTCTGACCCTCTGTCTCACCCCACACACAAAAAATAATTTCAGGTGCATCGCAGACCTAAAAGTAGGAGCTACGGTGATAAAGCTTTCAGAGGAAACACTGGAGACTCTACATTTAATAAAGAACTTGGAAATCCCCTGGAGTTCGGCAAAGATTTCTCAACTGGTAAAAGGTAATAATCTTAAGTGAAAAATTGGATACATCAGGCATCCTCAAAGTTAAAAACTTCTGCTTATCACGAGACTCCATTAAGAAAATAGTAGGCCAGCCACGGAGTGATCCAAACAGGCACAAAACATATATCTAACAAAATGGGCCCAGGACATATAGAAAAGCTCTTACAATTGAATGATGGAAAGACATAACATCCCATGTAGAAACAGAAAAAAAAAAATCTCAAAAGACACTTCATAATAGTAGATAAATGAACAGCCAATAGATACAGTTAAAAAAAGAAAAAAAACCCCACAGCCCTGCTGGCTGGTGTGGCTCAGTGGACTGAGTGCGGGCCTGTGAACCAAAGGGTCACTGGTTCGATTCCCAGTCAGGGCACATGCCTGGGCTGCAGGCCAGGTCCCCAGTAGGGGGTGCTGGAGAGGCAACCACATACTAATGTTTCTCTTCCTCTCTTTCTCCTTCCCTTCCCCTCTAAAAATAAATAAATTCTTTAAAAAAACCCACAAAATCATTAATCATCAGGAAAATGCAAATTAACACAAAGAAATACCACTATACATTAGCAGAATGTCTAAAATTAGAAATTGATAACGGTAACAACAAACGTTGATGAAGAAAGACATGGAGCAACCACAACTCGCATGCACTGTCCCCGGAAATGTCACAAGGTATCGACCCCTACGGGGGAAGAGTCTGACAATTTCTTGTGAAACTACATGCACGGCATTTAAATTCCTATTACTTACTCAAAAGTAATGAAAACATGTGGTCACAAAATGATCCGTAATGAAAATGTCCACAGCAATGTAGTTTATAATAATCCCACCCCGAAACTGTCCAGACAAATGGCTAAACGGTGGTATATTCAGGTAATGGATTGTTAGTCAGCAATCTGAAAAAATGAACTCCTTAGCAGTACAACTGTGTGTGTGAATCGCATGCACGGACTCTCAAAAGAAAGAAAAAGGAAAAACAAGGCGAAAAGACTATCAATTCAGGCCAAATCTAAAACAGCCAAGATTTTAGAATTAAGATACTTTAAAGCATGTATTGTAATTGTGCTCAACAGCATGAAATCACACTTGCAATACGTGAAAAACAGAACTTCTTTTAGAACAATTACAATAAAATTTGGAACATTTCTGTGCTGAGCCCTGTGCTGAGCATTTAACATAAACAATCTCATTGAATTCCTAATCCAACCTCATCTTACAAAGAGAGACACAAACGTAGAAAGAAGTTAAATAAATTGTCCAAAGTCACAATGCCAGTATGCTTCATAAGCCTGATTTTGGGGCCCCAGACCTCACACTGGGGATGAACAGTAAAGACAGAATCACGAAAATACGTTTTGAACTAACTTTAAAGGTTGGTGCATGCTGGGGCGGCGAGCTGCGCGAAGGGACAACACCTCGAGAAAGTACCGAACGCAACAGCTGCTCCCTGGGCCTCCGCGCAGTGCGGCGCGGCGGGCCTCACTGGCTTACCTTGGGGAACTGTTTTACAGGAATTAACACTTTCTGTCCCAGCTTCATGTTCTTATTAATCACCACATCAATGTACTTTTCTTCGTCCTTGCCTTCTCCTTTTTGAAACTTTTCTATTTCTGTGGAGGAAAAAAGATAACCATGAAGTGGACGTATGAGTGGGAACTCCGGAGGCTGGGGCTCTCGTGAGCTCTACGGTGGCACGGCCTCAGAGGTGTGGACGGTCCGCTCGCTACGGTTGTTTGCCGTAAGGACACACTTCCCGCTCTGTCCACAGTCCTTCACGGGTACAGTGGGAAACGTGCAGACACCAGGGCTCTCCCAAGCCCGACCTCCACTGCCCGTGCTAATGGGAGCTAACACACAAAACCAAACACCAGAGTGAGCTCCCGGGGGCCTTCTGGAATCCTCGAGAAAAGCAGCAGGGAAGAGCCGGAGAGCATTCGAGCTCCAGGGCCACAGAGTGCCGGCACCCCTACTCGTCATCCCGCAGGGCTCCCCAGGGCTCACCCCACCAAGAGTTGATTCTTTCTCGCCCTCCCCCACCAAACCTTCCCTCCTCGCAAGTGACAAGGCCCACTGCGGGAGCAGGTCTTTGCTCACCAGTGCACCGCGACGCAGACCGAGTCCCGGCCAGCTGACCTGCACGGCAGTGGGGACAGCAGACGACGGGGACCCGGGCCCCCACAGGTTCGCCAGTCCCCACGGGAATACTGGGGAATTCTCCGGCCGTAAGGAAGGCTCTGAAATGCTCACTGACACGGCTTGCACAGCCTGTGTCAGCTTCTGCCGCCGTCACCCAAAAGGGACAGGCAGGGAGGCGGACCCCGGGGTCAGAGAAAAAGGGACAGGCTGGGAGGTTGGGCGCTCCCAAGCAGACCAGTCCCTGGGAGACTGGGAAGGACTCAGGGTTACGCTTAATGCCACTCAACACGTCTGTCTGATGAGGCTCCGGCACACCCACAGACCGAAGAAAACGGTGCATCAGGTTAATTCGAGGTAAGAAGGACTTTTCATCGGTAACTACTGGGAGTAGGGACGAGAGTAACTATTAAAGTTTGAAGAAAAATGTAATTTTTAGTTAAATCTGCCGAAGGGTTAAACCCCATTTCTCACTTCTAATTGCAAACGTCGTTAAGCACACAGCGCAAGACCAGCTATCTTACACAATTATCAGGCTCCGGAGGTTACCAATTAGAACCCTGCAAGGATCTGAATTAAAAAAAGTTTTGCGATTAGGTGGAGTAATGATCCAAGAGAGAGATTAGTTCTGTCCGGACCGCACTCATTATAAAACCCATTTCCTCTGTGTGAAGATCCGACGTCTCTCTCATTTATCCCGCCGGCGCGATCACGCTCCCTGAGAGAAATGTGACCGCGCTCATGATGCTCAGTAACCGCCACGGCGCACGAGCGCCCTGCTCCCGAGGGGCCGCCGGTGCAGACGCCCCACTCACTGGTCAGAGGTGCGGGGGCACAGACCCGGCGGCGGTGGCTGCGGCAGACCACTCGGCGTGGACTCAAAGCAGGACACGCTCGTGCTCTTGATAGGGGACTCACAACTTGGAAAATTTTAGCTTAAGGTAAATAGCCATAAATCTAGCAAGTAATGTGTATGTTAAGCTCTTTGTGTCAGAAACTACAGATAAAGCCCATCTGGCGCCTGAGAAGAAGCAGCTGACCTTCTGGGGTGCTGGCTGGAGATTACCGCCTGAAGACATCGGTACCAGGCGACTACCCCTCCCCCTTGGAATCTCAAGGCTTTCGCCCACCCGTTTGCCCTCCCCCAACCCCCTTATAAAAGATCTGGCCAGGAAAGAAAGGGGAAGATGGTTTGTTAGGGTACGAACCCGCCATCTTCTCGGATCACCAGCCATCTGTATAAAGCACCCATAAAAGATTCAATCGCTGTCACTGCTTATTGGATTTGGTAGTGACAGGCAGCCCGAACGCCGGTGTCTTTTCCGGTTACACTATGGCCACGTTTCATGTTTAGGTCAGTTCCATTACCATAGTCATCCCCACTTTCTGTAGCGAAGAGTCAGAGTGACTGGAGGGGAATGATCCTTTAGACGTGGAATTGTATTTGTCATCTGACAATGACCCACAGGGTCGCCGTTATAAAAAGGAATTCAGACAATACGTAGCGTGACCCGGGGCTGCAGAGACGACCCCGAAGAACACCGCTCCTCTGACGCCGTGTACTGGGCCCGCCGACACGACCCCACGGGACGCGCAGGGAGAGGGGCTCAGCCAAGCCAGCGCTGCTCAACAATCTCAGGGAACGAGCAAGACGCCTGACAACACCCCAGTTCCCCCTCCCTTGGCGGTCGACCCTGCCCGAAAACTGCCCAACGGGCACAAAACACTGTTTGAGAACACACATGGTCCCGACCAGACCCGCGTTGCGTCACTGAGATCTAGTCCCTGCAGGAAGCGAAGACGCTGATGGGAAACGACTCACCTACGCTTTGGGGGCCGCAGCTTCCGGGGACAGGAAACACCCCCCGGCAGAGGCAAGCCACTCCCGAAAGTGAGGACGGCTTCCCGCGTCCACTCCGGGCCGGCCAGCGCCAGCCCCAGGCGGCCTGCACACCTCTCTTCCCAGCGCAGCGGCCCACCCTCGGGGGCTCTGCTCCGAGGGACTGGTCAGCTCAGGCATGCGCCCTCCGGGCCCAGACCGGAGTCCCCCAGGGAGCTCCCAGGAAAGGAGCCGCACTGAGGCCGGTGGGCAGCACTGGCTCACTCTCTGTCCTTCCACCACAGAGTCTTCGACCACGGTCAGCCATCGTGCACCCTCGTGGGTCCCACCTGTCGCACCTACCGACAGCGGACGGATCTGTGTTCAGGCCGAGTACCCAGATCCCCGTTACCTTGCAGAGCCGCACCACCCAGGCAAGCGAGACAAAAGGAGAGGATAAACCCTCAGATGGCACCGGCTGGTGTCTGGCTGTCTTCGGTTCTCCCCTCCACCCCGGGAAGTGGAGGAAGGTGTTGATCGGTTCTAGGGAGGAGGAGCCAGCGAAGGTGAGGACACAGAGGCTCGCTCCGTGGCCCAGAATCCAGACGCGCTCCCGTGGACCAGCTTCAGACACCTGCCCATTGTCACGGCAACAGCGGTTGCCGGCCCCGCGAAGAGCCACAGCACAAACAGAGACAGCGCACGCCCGGAAGACGGCTATTCCATGAGACGGCATGGGCGGACGGCTGGGGAACGCTGTCTGGAAAGGTGCCGGGAGGGAGGCAATGACGGGGGGGTGGGGCTGAAAAGCACCAAGAAGCCCCACTGGAACAGCTGCACGTGCTGATGCTAAAGGATAGATAGTTCCGGAGAAAAGGAAACTCCTGCACAGACGCTGTCGTGTGTCGCATCAGAGAGAGCTCCGCCCTGGCCGGCAAGAACTACGAGGTGGGGGCTGTGGGGAAAGGGGCCGCCGCGCACACCGCAGCGACGATGGGGGGACGGGGGGACCGGCTCCCGTAAGGACAGCTGCCTGCGTCCATCTGGGAGCCGAGTCCAGCACGGGCCGGACCTCCATGCAGAAACATCACAGGGAGCCCGTGTGCGCGTGAAGCTGTGTCCCTTGGCATCGTGGGCCGGAGACCCCATGCTGCACCACGGACACGACGCATGTTCAGAAGCAACCCACTGAGCGAGGGGGGGGTGTCCCTCGTGGAAAAGCACAGGGAGCCCCTCTGGTCAGCAAGAACACCCGACCTTTGCACCACCCGAGAGGGGAGTCTCCTCTCTCTCCGCTCCCTAACAGACCCTGGTGCCAGCAGCCACGCCCCAGCTCTGGGCTCTGCAGGTGCCCCTGCAGGTGCCCCAGCGGGGACTCTGCCAGTGGCTTCCCCCTGGCCAGAGGTTCCCCAGCAGGCCCCCCCTCTGGCAGCGCGGGAGAATGAGGGACCTGTCCCTCCTGTTTCGCTCCCAGCGCCGGCAGTGTGCCGACACCGAGTCCCCAAATTCTGGCAGTGACTAAGATCCCTCCACGCTCCTAAAACCACATGTACGCCCCTCCTCCGCAGGCCAGGACCCTGTCCCCAGAGGCCAGAGTGCCTGGGGTGACCTCACTGTCCAGGCCTGGGTCCCAGCTCCCTGGAGCTCCTCCCCCCAGACCCTGTCTTTGTTCCTCCAGCTCTGAGGGTGCCAGCTTGTGGGGGTGCACATCACTATTTCTGTGACTATTTCAGCATTCCCCCAAATCTTTTTCAGTCATCCAGCACCTGTTCAACAAAGTCTTCCACATTAAACCCTCTGTTAAAATACCTGGGCGATTTCTGTTTACCGGGCCAGCACCTGAGGGATGCCCAACCTTGACAAACTCTCAGAGGTAGCGCCGAGGACCTGGGAGCCCCCAGGTCACACGTCTTAAGGACACTGTGCCAGGTGCCATGCTGGGCCTCAGGAAGGCCTTCGACAGTCCCGACCAGGAACAGGGCGGGAGGACACAGGTGTAACCCATCCCTGACTCTTGGGGCTGGGAGTCACTGGTCTAATGGCTTCAAGCCACTTGTCTCTCTCTCTTTTTTTTAATTTCAGAGAGAGGGGAAGGGAGGAGAAAGAGAGGAAGAGAAACATCGATCGGCAGCCTTGCACACACGCCCCAGCTGGGAACACACCCCACACCCCACACGCGGGCCCTGACCGGGAACTGAACTGGCAACCTCTTGGTTTGCGGGATGACGCCCAACCCCCTGAGCCACGCCAGCCGGGACCAAGCCACTTCTAATTCGCTTCTAGTTCAGTGTTGCTTGGAAACCCAAGCAATTACACTTGGTTAGCGCAGTGACTCACTCAGTAATGGTGACAGGGCCCTCAAGAAGATGCCGGACAAGCTCTCTCGGGGAGGCGCCCCACTTCCCATCACACCTTCACCTGCGGAGAGTGTGGTCTGCCCTGCCGAGACCCACCGCGTCCTGGAGAGCTGGGGGGTGGGGGGTGGGGCTGCACGGAGGCCCTGAGGGGCCGGGATGCTTGTGGACGGCCCACGGCACCCTGGGTGCCCGGCCAACCGACCGCCCTCAGGGTCTGGAGGAAGCGCACCTCTGTGACAGCATCAGCAGAGACGCTCTCCGTGCAGCGGGGCCACGATGCCTCTGCAGGCGGCTGCCGCGC